ATGTGGTGCTGGGGGATTGAACCGCGGTCCCCGATGCTTTGCTAAGCTTGTTCTAAGTAGGTGCTTTAGACCACTGAGCCATCTCTCCAGCCCCTGGGAGCCAGTTTTGACCCTGCCCTGCTCTCTGTGGATTTAAAGTCAGAGCCTAGAGCATGGTAGACAAGTGCTCTACTGAGCACTAGCCCTTTCTCTGGCCCTGAGTTGAGTTTCTTTTCTGTATTCTACTTAAAGTGACCAGTTAGGTTTTGACAGTTCTCCAGCAGCTGGATTTGTTGGTAATGACTGTTTTCTATGTCTCTCTGTACAGTGTACACACTATGGTCCTATCCGGATCTTCTGCCGACCTTCACAACATGGCCTCTGGTCCTTGAAAAACTGGTAGGGGGAGCAGGTAAGTGAATTTTCCTTATTTTAGCTATTGCTTGAAATCTATTCAGTAAAGGCCAACTGTATTCATTTCCTGTATTCATATGGGTGACCATGAAGTTTTTCCCATGTGATGTTACTATGCCTTTCAATTGACTGGATCCATGAGTTCCCTAGGCTTCTCCAACTGTGTTGTAAGCTTTACGTAAGATAAGTGATGTGAAACTACTTTGTGGACTGCCCTCAACTGTACTTCAAATCACAAAGCTGAATTTAGGAAACCAGCACAAGATATATCATGGGATAGGACACTCAGCCTGTTGCTTTTATTTGACCTCTAGACTCCAAAAGAACTGATATTCTAGTTGCTATTTAAAAATTTCATTGTGAATAACATAGCTGATTCCTAATCATTGTTTCTTGGTCAAATGAATGAATAAATAATGAAATTAAAAAAAATAAATAATGAAATGAAAAGTGGAATAAGGTGGATGCAGAAAGTCGTGATGCTTTTGTTTGCCACAGATTTGATGCTGCCAGGACTAGTGGTGCCCCCTGCTGGTCTGCCTCAGGTACAGAAGGGCGACCTCTGTGCCATTGCCTTGGTGGGGAACAGGTACTGTGACAGGAGTGGTGGGTGCCTTTGGGGGAGAACAATAGGTAAAAGGGAGGCAGAGGGACGTGGCAACTTCCCAAGCATATGGACAGAGTCGTGAGAGAACACACTGGTTCTTCTGGAAGAAGCAGAGAGTAGGCTGTAGGGAAATGGCAACGAACTTGTGGAGCGTGTATGTGTAGAAGGAGGGTGTGGTGGCTGCAGCTTTTTTCTTTCTTTCTTTCTTTCTTTCTTTCTTTCTTTCTTTCTTTCTTTCTTTCTTTCTTTCTTT